AGTCGTGAATGTGCATTAGTGAGGAATCAAATACTGAGACGAAATAGCTGTTCAGCACTTCTAGAATTTCTGTGGTGATGTATCTAGAATTCGTTCGTGATTTCAATAACATTTGATATTTCTAACATTGCATTGGTAAAAATGTAAAGTCGTATATTCTGACTGATGAATGTGTACGGTATCTTTGTCGGCTTCAGCAGCCGTCCTTGAACGTCAGCCTCAACGTTTGTCGGTCACCTTGTGACGAATTTACATGATAATTAGCAGCATTTAGTTGCGCTGCTTTATTTTCCGTGTGACTAGCTTATGGATTTCCGGGATGTGTTGTTACTGCAGCAATGGCACCTGCTTCGAGATTTTTAGACAAACATAGCTAAACGGTTAAAGTCTAACCAAGATCTTGATGGAAAGGCAAAAATATTATCCTCAAGGGTTGCAGAAGTTCAGTACTTTATTCTACCCAATCATTTCATATTTTTATTCTCCAAACCCAGTGAAGAGTAAATTGTGTAAAACAGTTTAACCGTACTCTTTATTTTGTCCTGGTATGATATACTAATAGGTGCAACCACTATTTTGGAGCCTTCTGATTCGAACGCATACTGGATGAGTAGGCGTTAGTTTAAAACTTATTCCTAAAGGTTCACTGCCCAGACCGCTAGGAACCTAAAAATATCAGACAACTGATTTAGTTTGAGGTTTCCTTTATGGTCTTGGGAAGCTGTTTGACTCAGTAACATTATTTGAAAATTTACAGGCTTTTTTCGTCTAGTACATCAGTGAGTCTGTTGAAAATTATACTTTCATTACCAGAAGCTATAGTTTTCTCAAGGTTCTTTGGAAGCCATCTTAGCTGCAAATGATGTAACAAATGTTTATGTTAACGCTAGTTAACAATTACATAATTATATTTCGCTTGAGGTTCGGTAACGCGTTCTCCATAGACTCTACGTTTTAAGGCAATCAGTCCATATCTTGTTGGACTTACAAAGAGTAAATTATAATAATTCGCAGAAATATCGGGTGGTTAGTATAAGTCAAATTTGAGCATTATGTAGTCAAACTGTTCTAAGACTCGATATAATATAAGCAGTTTGGTTTATGAACTTATTATCGAAGAACGTGTTTTTATTTGTGTGACAGATTACATGTGATCATATGCCTTAAAATGGAGTACAATCGAGAATGCCAAATCCGCAGCATTGAATATCGAATGGATGCATATGTTGACATATTGTAACATTCTGAGAAGACAAACTACAAAATTTAGAATATTTAAAAAAAGTGGACGTAAGAAATCATAAACACTAACACATTCATCAAAATGAGATGTCAGATATAAGTAAATGGAAACCAATAAGGCATTCCATGTCATCTTTGCCTCCAACGTCTTCTCTTAATTTCCACTTTCAGCTAGAAGCTGGTTCGTTTTCTCCCACAGTAGGCTGTTGCTGATTGCATCTGTTCAACAGATATAGAGTAGAAAATTGTTTGTAAATACTTGTACTTTTTGGATAATGTCTGTCCAAATCAATGTCGTCTCATGATATTCTCATATCCAGTTTCGTCCATTCCGTTTTGGGCACTTTACTATGATTGATTGCAGTTTGTTGTAGAACAGGTCTTCATCATCGTCATCGCTATAATTGATGGGTGCATAACACTGGACAACATTCATTGTAATTCCCTTGTAAGTTGTTTTGAAGGGTGCTTTGATGATCCAGGATCCGTCAGATTCCCATTATATGAGCGCGTTCGATGCTTCTTTCGATAGCACCAGAGCATATCTCTGTGTGCATGGAGCATATTCCACGTCGTGACCGGAGTATAGCAGCATCTCTCCCGTATCTAGCCTTTGTTTTCCAGCTTCAGCCCTAAGAGTTTCGAGTGCTACCAAGTTGTACTCCTCGTTTCCGTCACTATGTGAACGGTCCGTACGGTTTCCTGGATGTTCCGTGAACCCGCTTGGGTTCAAGCTATCCCGAAATTTTCGTGCTTTCAGAGTTGACCTCAAACAACCAAGCATATGCCAAAACAGTATAGTTCAAGTATTCATTCACTTCCTTATTTTGCATAGTCGTTGTATTTCCTATTACCTTATATTAAGTGTTGAGAGGCTTTGTTTTTCTGAACAAATAATCCCACGCCTCTCAACACTTAATATAAGGTAATAGGAAATACAACGCCTATGCAAAATAAGGAAGTTAATGAATACTTGAACTATACTGTTTTGGCATAAGCTTGGTTGTTTGAGGTAAACTTTTAACCAAGCAACCTAAGCTGTTACAAGTCGACTTAATCTCCGAGCGAAAAACAAGACTCGGTGACCAAAGAACAGTAAGCTAGATACTGATGTGTCCCAGCCCCGCTAACTAGAGGGAGAAGTCCAAGCTTGGTATGGGGAAGTATATTATGCAAGCAGCCAGAAACGAGCGATAACGACAAACACAATTCAAAACGTATATATACAGTGCAAAACCGTTCTTGGGGAGAGTTACCAAATAGCATAATAAAGACGCAACGGACCAACAGCATTTAAAATATTTCCCAGTGGGAAATACGACATGAAGGTGAAAAGAGAGCCTTTGGTGCGAAAACAAAGAAATTCAAATTTTCTAAATGAAATTGCAAAATTATGTCCATTCCCAAGTGAGTTCTGTGGATCTAACGTCCCCAACCCACCTTCACATTTTAATAGCGTACTTTCCTGGATTCGACTTGCATCCTGATTGTTGCTCGCCGCTGTCTGAGAGGGCACCTTCTGGAACAGAGATCAGCTTGTTGTTGAGCTTCTTCTCGTGATGGGGTTGCTGGTAATTTGAAAATATCAAACAGGATGTCAAAGGAAAAATTTACTCCTGTTGATGGGCGGTCTGGAGCTATACGCCTCCGTAGTTGTTTTCGGTGTCTAGTCCAGGTGTCTCTTCCCATCAATAACATTTAAGGTATTTCAAAGTAAGAAACACGACATGAAGGTGACAAGAGCGCCCTTGGTGCGAAAACTAAGAAATCCAAATTTTCTAAATAAAATTACAAAATTAGGTCTTTTCCCAAGTGAGATCTGTGAACCCAACAGAACCTATATTGATTGCTGCTCTGGTTGTTCGAAGGGGCATCGGCTTTTATGATGAATTGTCACAAATCTTCCCTCAACTTGTAGGGCAGAGCTGAAATGGTTTAATTTGTTTAATGCGGTCAGCACTTTTTTAACAAGGTTGTATTATACGATATAGGACTGCTGACCACATGCCCAATCCTTCTCCTTTACCTATGCTTCAGACCAGCAGAATGCACAGAAGTGCGACTAGCAAATTTAGATAGTTTCGAAAATATAATCCAGAAAGAAGTTTCTAGTCAGTTTTCCGTTTGAAAGCGATTTTATGTTCTTAAGAGATCACAATATGAACTTAAATTCATATTCTTTATTCTATCTTTGCTTATAATGCTTGTAAATTAAAGGAATATCGAGGCAATACGCACAGTATGCACATATAGCAATAATAGACTGATCAATTCCAGTCCTCAAACATCAATGGGGAGATCCAAACAAAAACAATACCATGTGAATTACACTTCACTCCATTGCACCAGCAAGTGGCTATCAGGACTCAGTAGCTAAGTGGATAACGCGATGGCGTTTGAAGCAGACGGTACTGGGTTCGAGTCCCATAGTGAACATCAACTCAGATGCAGGCACATCCGGCTGACGAGTCCCAAATAGGACGAAACGGGCGTCCTGGATTCCACTGGTAGCCAGTATCCATCTTTGCTTTTCATATTCTTTATGTTTTGAAAATATGTTCACAGAATTAGATGATATTTTGGTCGGTTTCAATTATAACGTAAGGTGTTGCTGTATCACTAATACCCCAAAACCAAGCGTCATATATTCTTAGACAAGAGTATTCATCCTTATCAGTTTATGTCGACTTTTTACCACAGAGCTAATTTCAAAATAATCAAGATCTTAATCCTTCAGTGCAATTAGTATAGTTCAAAACCATGTGCCATTTTCGGGTTCTAATACCTATCACTAGCAAATCCATTTATAAATATTCACATGGCATCTTAGATCGATCTCCTAGAAGTGTAAAACGTATGGGGAATAGCGAGACGAAACGATTGGAAATGTGTAGTGTTGCGTTCCGCTCCATTACATCACATGTCAGAAACTTGAGCCCAAACACAACTTAATGCTATAGACCATGTGATTGAAGTTATTCTTCTTCAAATCGTCTGAAATTAATTCCTCACGATAGACGACTTCCTGAGGGCCGCAAAACGTCCGTGACTATGACCGCATATTTTATTCAAAATGCCATTCCGCCTTGTTAAACTGAAATATGACATTATTTATATGGTGTCAAAGCACCTATGATGATATGAACACATCAGGATTCTCAGGACAGAACTGACTTCCTACATACAGAGTAAACTAGGTTTTGCATGAATACAAATACGAGCAGATATCTAAAAATCTTCTTACACATCCTTGTCGATATTTGGAACAGGTAATATCTTTAGTAGCTTTACACTAAGACCTTTTCTTTTATTATGTCAGGGTGAAATAAGCCAACCTGTTTCAATCGCGTCAATTTGTTCAATAATAATTGTCCCAGTTTGTATCACCATCATCTCAGAAAAATAAAACTGATGTGAAACTTATCGTGGTTTAACACTCGTTGCTCCTTCATTTGCGTAAAATATTACACTAGTGTCTCACGCTTTGACACGGAATCTAGTGTCCCTGTTGGCGTGACTACAGAGTAAATGACAGAGAATCTAAGTTCGCGTCAAGGTTTAAAGCTCACATTAGCATTTACCCTAATCAAGAGGTTGCTTCTCAAAGTTGACAGAAGACTAGCATAACCTGAGTATGAATGCATAAATTGCTCATCCATGTTATCGTAACTAATGCTGCCGAATCTACCAAATCATCCAAACACCTATTCTAATCAGACTGACACCTAGTAATTCACTTTTTCTAAGCAACCACCTGGTATTTATATACACCAATTATATTCCAAATTGTTTACTCCTGAAATTAGATACACGTTCAAGACGAACAATTACCGATAAACTAAGAAGAATAAATAGAAATTAAATATTCGAAAATAATGTAGATTTTGGAATACAACGTTTTAAGCGTTTGAATCAATGTAAACGTCTCCTCGAAAAAGTGTTATAATTAAAAAGTAATCAAGCACAGTTTAAAAAACCAAGACAAAAATAAAGTGGAAATAACATGACCACTACTCACACTAAAACTGACAGAAACGAATAAATTCTCATTATAACTTAAAACATTGCGAAATCGAATACAAAAGTTTAGTAGAATGAAACATAAAACTATACTTAGTTCTTTCTGAAATCATGAGTTAATTTACAAACACATACATTGTGCATTGCTTTTTGTAAAAAAAGATAACACATAACACGTCTTGGAAACAGTGTAAATTCATTTACGGAGTAACATTAAATTATGCATTTAATTCATTGAATATCACAGACAATCAGCAAACAGAAGTGATAGAACTATTGACTTTTTAAAAGCATATCAATCTACAAAAATTATAAGCAAATAAATAACGATATTAAGTAATGCATCGACGAAATATAATAATAACTGAGGTAAACAACACAGGTAATTCAAAATTTACATAAACGTCACAACTCGTGACTTCATGCGTAAAGAATTCGGCTTTCGTTTGGGTAACTACTAGACAATATCACTAACCTGTGTACCAAGTCAATTACATGGATATGTCGACCACGTTGTTAAACTGTTCATATATGAAGTTGACATGAAATGTATGAGAACTGGAAACTTATTAAAATCACTCAATTACGTATTTTCTAGTTGATAAAGTCAAACACCCATACTCCGCTTTACCTATTTCGAGATTTCGACAGTCAGATTGTAAGGGCAGACCTTATGAAGCAGTATGCGCCAAAGCAGTGCTGAAGTGTTTATTTGGTGGAAGGTGATTAAAGAAAACCCTGAACATAGGTTTAGAGCTAAACGCTACTGGTAAGCAAAGTGTACCTAGAACCTTGACGGAGCTGATGTTCTCTGAGGAATCCGAATCCGCGTCCCCAGTCTCATAGTCTGGGGAGTAACCACTGACTATTTTAGACAAACAATGACTCTGTAAAAGTGGTAATTTTACATTGGCTTATAACTGAGAAGTGATAAATATCATATTTGTCTAGTCCTTAAGGTTGGCCGAATTTCAACGATTAATTTGTAATGTGACACCTAGATATTAGCACCCTGCAGTGAGCATCAGTTCCATCAGAATACCGGAAACGCCTGGTGTTGGGAAGCCCCAACTAGCACGATACATAGTTTAAACAGAATTTCCTGTCAGCTATCTCTAAAAAACAAAACTTCTGTTGGAGAGCTCCAAAATACTTTTCGGGAAAGTTAACAGGGATCCATACAATGCTTAGAAACATTTTACACGATCAGGACTGAGCGAAAGTTTCTTCGAAACATCTAGAAAGATAGTAAATCACGTGTCGAGTTTTTGGTTGGACAGTTAAATTTTTATTGCTATGTTCAGCATACTTCCAGAGCTTTCCAGACACTTAAAGTAAAGTTATATAGCTCAAACAAGCACGATTATCTGCGCATACTTTAGTTGTGGAGAAAAGTTCTTATTTTCACTTTGCGCCGTTTCTTTCGTGTTCAAGTTGCCGTCTAGATTTAGTCTGAGCTATCAGAAAAATATTAAGAAATTGGATCAAGAGTTCATAAAACAAATAAATAAAACTACATCAATAATTGCTTACCTGCGCTCTATACATTTCTTTAACATCGGCTAGATCTAATTTAAGTTCATTATTTTCTTCCGTTAATTTACCGCATAAAATCAATAAAGTTTCATAACGTTGTTGTAATTCCATTGTAGGATCATTGTCATCAATTACATCGCCAATATCATGATTATGGTAATTATTTGTAGTAGGAGCGAATGGATCTGACTGTGATAAAGTTTTATTTACATGTTTTGTATATTTTACACCTGCTAACTTTTCATATTTCTCAGCTCGAGCTGTTTGTTTAGCAACTTCAGTTAATAATTTCTCTTGTGTGGCTGTTAATTGTTCAATTTCACGTTTCAAATGAGCACATTCACCTTCGCGCAAATGTAGATGAGACTATAAAACAATAAAATTATTTTAAATTAAATGAGAATAAAGAATCCATGTTTAATGAAATTCGTTTAAGTTTCATGATTATTAGAGGTCCCACGTATGGGGTCGTGGATGCCTAATCCCGAGGACATCTATGCTAGGACAAAATCGCCACCCAGCAGTTCTAGGTTTTCAATGGTGTTCTAATTTAGCTCGGTACATGATGTCAATAGAACCCAACAAATAAAATAATATCAATGACGTACCACAACTGATTATTCATGAAAACACGATGCGAATGAGCCATATCATAATGACTCCTCATAATAATTGAAATCTTTGAGAAAAAGCCTCAGTGGTAAGACTTATTCTTTATGTTGGAAGTTATCGATCAATATCAATGAAACTTCACGAAGTGCTATTGTCAGGACTATTCTCCCTCCCCAATATAATTTAATTTTGTTATAGGTATGATCCTAAAGAAAATACTCCTTCTGACCTTAAGTGTAGTGATCTACTACCTAGAGAATCATCAGTAGGCTAAGAATACATACATGACATACTTCCGATTGATGCAGACACTGAGAAAATGCAGTATTCCGAGACTTTTGAGTGAAAATTTAAAAATGTTTTGGATGCATTTCTTTAACTATGAATGAAAACATTTGCTTTAAAATTAGTCTCAAATAACGCCTATCCTGACCACTGACGGTGAAGTAGTTTAATAGGTTGACAACTTTAAAAGAGTATCAGTTCTCTAGTGATTGCGGATTTGCGCCTTGACAACAAATAACAACTCTCACAAAGCTTGGATCAAACGGATTTCGACAACCTAAGTATTTGATTCTAATTACTGTATATTATTTAGGTTAGCAAAACGATTACAGAGAATAAAAAAGTGGTCAAATGGTAAACATAAACCTCAAACATAGACTAAGATTCCATATTATGATTACTTCTTACTTGAAAATATTCCATAGATGCTTGATTGATCATATCAGACTGAAGTTGAAATGTTTTTGGAATACTGACTACATCATTGTTGAGTGAAGATTTTCGCTGAAAAACGGAAAAGGTTATCAAGAATTCAAACATACTGTTAATGCTTTCTCTGTCTTATAATAATTCGTATTATAATAATAAACAACAAACTGAAAATCGATTCGTACATGATGCGCGCTTATTGTTCGAATATTTGGGAGTTTTTAAGAATTGACCATTCGATCGAATACACATTGAGAACAACATCAATGCAACTCTTTATAAGCCAGTCTATCGAAATTTAAGCTAAGGAGATTTCAGCACATTAATAATACAAATTATTAAACTTTATCGGTTATTTTTTAGCTACGATTAACATATATAATGAAGCCAAACCAATTTAAACTTTAGAAAACAGACCAGATGAAGGCTGCTTCTATTTAGTGAAAGTGATTGACAACGTTTTACTATGCACACCTTAATGTGCTAAGCTTTGAAGCAGACCGTTTCCATAAGAGCTAGCGATCTTAATTGGCTGTTCGTAAAAAAAAAACAAATTGTAACAAGGTGTGAATCTGAGAATAAGTGCTTTCATTGCTTATTCATTGCACTTTAAATTGGTGTGCTTCAAAATACTATAAAGCATACTCAGATAAGAACACAAACTTCAAATTACTGGTTTATATATAATCAAATTTTGTACGTAAATGAAAAATAGGAAAATCAACATTCAACACTATCTCTCAATGAATAATAGATAACTTGAAATTTTGTATGAATTAAGCGCTGATGATGTTGTCCAGAAAAACAACGAAAGTTTCACAATTAAACAATCCAGTCAGTATGACATAATTTTTAAGAATGATTCGATTATTTTCTTATATTATTTTAGATTTATAGACGCATGGATGTCATTGCATGGATGTCATCGGTTAAAAAAAGTTCCTAAAGAGATATAAAACATGTTTGTACCATACATTCCTTCTAACTGACTTAATTCTGAGTGTTTATAAGTTGTTTCTTTCTCTAAATTTGACCTGAATACTTTTTCTTACACATTATTTCTAACAACGAATCATTATTGAACATTGAATACAAACAATAGATAATGTTTGAAAATACTATAATTTTATTAATAGAAATATTATGATACATCATGACTAAATTATTACACTAAGTGTGAAAATGTAGAGATAAGAGAAAGAAATCAGTCATAAAAAATTGAAACCATGATGTTAATGATATGGTGAACTCTAAGCGAAAAATTGGTATGTTCGTATACAACTTAGATCAATATTATGTCTGGATTAGGCTATCCTTAGATTTGTGATTACAAGTTATCTTTCACTAGAATGGTGTATTAAGGAACGCAAGGATCCAATCATAGAAAAATAACAAGTTGGAAAATCTATGATAGAATACGTTTAAATTACACGTGTTTTCTAACTTTAGACGTCATGTTTTATAGGGCAAACTACAGACATTTCATAATTAGAAACAATAACACTAATTCAAACTAATCAGGAATTTCATTACGGATTAATAAATGACTTCCTTCCAACAAACAGGCGACAGAGGTTCGATTACTGAACACATGTGACTTATATTATAATATACTAACTAAACAGGAGTTTCACATATGAAATAACTTCTAGGCATATCTAACATAATTTCTTATACCAACTTACCTAAAGAGTAATTTAAAAATATACCTAGTCAAATGTATAATCAGGCTAGAATAGTTTTTTTTTCAAACAGAAATGTTGACGAAGATATCTATAATAAAAATCTACTCACAATGATTGAATTCATGAAAACGAAGTATATACGCAAACAGAAATGGTTTAGTGAAGTTATATATGTAAAAAGTATAAATAAACTAAAATAATGATCTGCACTATATATATATATATATATATATATATATATATATATATATATATATATATATATATATATATATATATATATATATAAACATACTTCAGGTGAATGTGAATTCAATGGTTGATCGATGACCTTATTTGCCACAAGTTGGTCTTTTGCCAATTTCATTTCTTCTAGTTGCAAGCATAAATTATTATTCACCGCTTCTAATGTTTTATAACGTTGCTCTTCAGATAACAATGTTTGTTGTAATTCACTTATACGAGAAAGAAATTCATTCATTTCAGATTTAGATGTTTCCAGTTTGACAGTTAATCTATAAAATATTCGAAAAATACAGTAGAAAAAAAAAGAAAGTTTATTGAATAATGACATCATACGATTACTTATATTTTATTTCGTAACTAAACTAAAATCGGGAATCAGTGAGATATTAAAACGTATAACCTGAGATATATGTGCATTGGTTGAAGTTGTCACATAATATTAATACGGTGAGACAAATGCCAAAGTAGTAAAAATGGTAAAAATATCATGCATTAAGGTATTGTTTTAAATAAGATATTCAATATAAGGAAATACTGAAATAAATATGTAATTGTTTTGGGTGATGCACTTAACATTTGCTACATCAATTTCTCACACGGTTCCCAGACTTTGACTAATCGATGACGCTTAAATAGTGCATAAATCAAGAGGTGAATAAACAACTGAAGATTTACTCTTTAAGGCACCATAATGTGATAAGAATCTTGCGTTACTTATGCGATTAGAAGCAAACTTGGAATTGTGTGAAATTTTATAAAGTACGCCAAAACTAATAGGAATTTCTGCGCTTAACAAAAAAAGTCATAACAGCCGTTTGGAATCAACAAGTAATCAATAAGGGTGTATACAAGCTAAATGTGTTTGAAAGTATTTTACGGTTCCTTTGTAGGGAAGAAAGATGAATTATTAGCGTATTCTAACAATGGCTTCTAATCATTTTAATGGATCAGTGAACAAATAGCTGGCTACACGCATAGTAGAACCTGGTACACTGATTGAAGTTGCCATAGCATAACAAGCACAGAGAAACATGGAAGTATCAATACAGATGAGAGAGTAGGAGAAACAGTCAAATTATCAACAACGGTGAAAAAACACTAGACATATACAAACTCAAAATTTAAGGGATGGGACTAAGTGAATGCATCTGAGTCATTATGATCGATTTCGAGTCAAATCACTGGTTAAGATAATCTTGCAGAAATGAACCAATGGTTGAAAACAGAGCTTAAATAATTGAAACAGGAGTTCCGTACACATATATCGATATAACTTTGGATTATAGACAAATATAATGTTTAAAAGTTTTATCCTCAATGACTGATTTCACTGGACATGATGAGACATTTGAAAGCTCTCATCTTTCTTCCGTTAGCTGATATCTTAGGGATTCAAAACCAATGTAATTATTTCTACTGCCTTGTAAGTTTTCCAACATTCATACAAAAAGTCGTAACTTTGGGAATAATTTACATCATAGTGTTTTTGGACCAAGGGATTGTACAAAATAATAAGACATTGAAAAGCATTCTCATCCGAGGTTGAAAAACATCAGTCATGTCCACCCATGAATCCGTCAAGGACAGAACTGAAGACCTACTGACCTGGCAGTAAACATACATCCTTAAACCAATGAGTTGTAATTCATTGTTTTACGCTTCAAGCTTCAAATGACTGAACATGTTGGACGGTCACCATGTTTGATAACTGATTTGTGTATGAATAACTTGGTATTGTTTTTACTTGAATCTTCCCATTGATTTTTAGGCAATATCGAGGCAATACGCACAGTATGCACATATGGCAATAATAGACTGATCAATTCCAGTCCTCAAACATCAATGGGGAGATTTAAACAAAAACAATACCATGTGAATTAAACTTCACTCCATTGCACCAGCAAGTGGCTATCAGGACTCAGTAGCTAAGTGGATAACGCGATGGCGTTTGAAGCAGACGGTACTGGGTTCGAGTCCCAGAGTGAACATCAACTCAGATGCAGGCACATCCGGCTGACGAGTCCCAAATAGGATGAAGCGCGCGTCCTGGATTCCACTGCTAGCCAACATCCATCTTTGCTTGTAATGATTTATGTATGAACTTTATAAATCTTGGATGAAACTTTTGTTAAATGTTTAAAACGCTTTCGATTTTCTTAAGTTTATTCATTCCTTTATCTAGTGTTAATTTATTTATACTCATTCAGTTTAAAAGAAGGTAATCAATTTGACATTTTTGATTGTTTAAATTAGGGAAAAATACAGCGGACCATTACGTAATTGGAAATCGTTTTGAAAAAAACTCATATACCTACTCTTGTAAATCGAACATGCTACCCTGTGATTTTTCTTGTTCTGCTGTAAATATTTTCTGCAAATCAACATATTTCTGCTTTAAAGAATTCAATTCTAATCTAGCCACTGCTAAATTATCCTCTGCTATTTGAAGCTGACTTCGCCATGATTCTTCAGACGTTTGAGCATTATCGGCTGTAAGTTTATATTCAGCTAAATATGAGAAAAAATTAAAACAAACCCATAAATAATATTCAATGATGGATTTTATTGCACATGTTAGTGTGAATCTTAGGACACTATGTATCTTGATGTGCAGAAACATAAAAAAGGAAGTTAGCTTGAAAAAGAAAATCTTACTTGAATGCAGTGAATTTTAATATCAAGTATAACTTTTTAGACACGTTTTTACTATGAATTATGACCTGATGAATAATAGACAGACGGTTCGAGGTGTGAAAATGAATCAATACAATACTGCTCAATTGATCATATACAATGATAAGACATGATTCAATGATACACCATCATGAGATCAAAAACTGAATTAATCCTCCGAACGAACTGAAATAAAAGACGAGATTAAGAGGCAGAAGTATACGTTTTTATCTAGTGAAATAACCAAGTGGTCTGAAGGGTGAATTCTTGCTTCGAGATCTGAAGATCCTATTTCCGACTTCTGTTGAGGAGAATCGTACTAAATTGAAACAGCTTTCCGGTACTTTTAGATTTTTAACGAACGTCTAATTAATACCATTCTGTGATCCAAACCATACAACTCAACAGTCTCCACCAAACGCCAATAATTATATCAGTTTTGTAAGTCACTACTAGAAATTCACCAAACAAATTTAATCTTTGCTCAGAATACTACTCTTCCTGCTTTTAATAAATAACGAACATAACAAAATTCATTCCATGGATCACTCACAAAAAGTAGAGCATATAATGAAAAAAGTTACCTCTGAAAAGACAGAGCCTAATACAATTCGTTCATAATGGATATTTGAATATCGTGTTCAAGTTTTTAAATGAAAGTGATTATCTATTTCTTACAATTAAGTAAAGCTTACAACAATGTAAATGCAAAATCAAATAGATTCAAGATAGTTAAAATGTGTCCTTAACAAGTTGCTAGTAAGGTTTTACAGTTATCATAGATTCGTATTTGACATTAAAATTGGACTTACAGTAAACGAAATAGATTAAAAATGGTTATCATACTTTTTAAAAGAAACGGTAGAATTACGACAGTTATGAGACGATGACCACTAAATATTAATCACTGTGTTGTTCTTTTGTCTAATTTATGTAATACGGTCATCAAATTAAGTGGCTGGCGATAATGGTGAACTGCATACTTTTGAAAAATAATAATAGGTATAAATTCAAACTTAATTAGTATCAGTACTCACTAGCAAGGTTCATTTTAAAAAACCACCTATTATAAATATAAATTTCTTCACACATTTTAATCCAAACAACTAAACAAAGGTTTTGAAAAGATATTGCAGTGAACAGAGACTCAGATACGGTATACCAATTTATTCTTTTATGCAAAATCGCAATGCCAGTGCCTTTGTAAAATATAAAACTCATACATTGAATACATCATTTATACATTTTCCTTGAGTTGTCCTTTACAAACTCCATCATTCTTCCAATTCTGTTGTTATACCGACTTCTCACTATTTTCCTTCCTCTTTTCTTTATTTCAGTCTTCTGTTGAGAGGCATTCTACGTTCAATTCCTCTCACATACTACTTACATAGGTCCGCATAAGTAGCGCACACCATAATATCTGCAGCAAATACCCTTCTTTAAACGATAAACTGAATAAAGTAAATAAATCGAGTTGAATGATCAATTACTAATGCTGATCGAACTGCCCAATAATGATAACGTATTCAGATATGACAGATGAAGGTAGCTTCTTAACAAACAAATGTCAAAAAAATGAGACCTAGATCAGCAGCTGCACAAAACGTTCGAGCACAGAGAATAAACAATTTTAAAGGATTATGTGAGGATTGGTTCACAAATTTTATTCACCATAGATGAATCTAAATTAAGATGACATTGAGAACTATGGAGCATTAGACATCTGTTTCATTCTAAGATAAGACTCCTTGACAGTGCACACTCATGAACCTCATCAAAAATTGAAAATCGAACCTTCAGCTTTGAAAAGAAGCAAACGATTCATCATTAGAACGACAAGGTAGGCATAGATATAGTTTCAATTTCGTTCACTTATGAAGAAAATTATAAATACAAAAAAAATACTCAAATGTATTAAAATAACAAATCTATTTTGAAATGTTTCTCAAATTGAGACACTCACCTAATAATTTATTCAATTGTCTTTCTTTTGTTTCCCACTCAAATGCTTGATTATTGAAATTAGATTGAAGAATTTCTAATTGTTTCATAATTGGTTGCGTTGCAGTGGTAGTTGTTTCATTCAATAGATCAATTTTCAACTGTGCGTCAGACAACAAACCCTAATACGATAAATAAATAAATAAGTATATATATATATATATATATATATATATATATATATATATATATATATATATATATATATATATATATATTTGAGCATTTTATTCGGTAGCCCAGTGCATTTTCTCGCTCAATTGGTCAGGAGGGAGGTTAGCGCATAGCATGCTGTGTATCAGTATCAAATTTCAGATGTTACACGTCACAACAATGCATTAACTCCTTACTGGAATCAGTCAGCTGAATGTAACTGCACAACAGATTCGATGGTCAATCCAAGGCCTGATTCCAGTAACATCTGATTCAAATGTCAACGCGTTACAAACATAGTTACAGAGTATTCCAGTTCAGCTTCAGCTGTTGGACGTTTTGAATCAAGTAAAGGTATTGAATTGTGGAGTTCATCAGATGTTGTCAGCTTATCACTCATTCCTAATACAAATGTGAATACCAGTACTCGTGCTACTACTACTACTACAAGTGTAAAAGAATCGCAAAAGCTTTTACCATTGGAAAATGTGATAGCCAGTACTAATACTGAACGTGTTCGCCTTCGTATTAGACGTACAATATCTGGCATTGAAAGAGTAGAAGAAGTAGACGTTGATCATGTAGTTTGTGCTGTAAGTTTCTTCGTTTTTATCATTCAATATAATTTATAATAAATGTCTATTGAAGAAGATAGAAGGAAGATTTTACGATTTTTTATTTCAAGTGCTTGGTCAAACCTCTATATCATCCTGATAATTTGTTATTTTCCAATATGTTGTAAAATTACCTAAGTCTATTCTTGGCTATCTGGCATTTTCTATTGAAACATAGATTATCATATTGAATTCAAATGGGCTCACTAAATTCGAGGTTGTTGGGTCAGTCAGTAAGCTACAAAGTAGGCCCAGGTACTTATATGCATCGGTTGAAGTTGCCACGCCTTATTAGCACAATAAGATGAACACCGAATTCATAGTAGTTACTTCAATGGTAGTTATATATAAAAGAAAAATTGAGTATGAGGATATGATACAGAGAGAAAGATTCACTTCATAGAAAGAACAGTATAAAGCAATTTTAGACTCGCGGTTTTAGGTAAGACAAATAGTGTATACACCTGTACCATTGTGATCGATTCTGAGCCATGTCACACAGAGTCTCCAACCATTGGTTACGATAGACACGCGGACCCCAACCGAATAGTCTGCATCTATTAAAATGCCTCAGACCAGGAGTTGGTGACTACATAAACTGACGCCACATTTTGTTTTGGCCCCCCGTATCTTTGTTCTAAGCATTCCCAACACTAGCCAACATTGCACGTCGTGGTAATCGGTGTTCAGGCATACACAACACGTGGACCAACCATCTCAGTCGATGAAGATTCACAATCTCATCAACTGATTTACCATCATTCCCTAATTCCCAGCGTCTAACCTCACTATTACTTACCCGGTGATCCCAGCAGATGCCAGCAATATTTTTAAGGTATATGTGGTCAAATACTTGTAGCTTACGAGTGTCTTCAACGCTTAATGACCATGTTTCGCAGCCTTAAAGTAAAACAGAACTAACTGTCGCGCAGTATACTCATCCTTTTATTGATAGACGGACATCTCGCCTTCGCCATAGGCGACGTAAGTTGGCAAAAACCAAACGAGCTTTCTGAGTCCGTTAAGAGATTTCGCCAGACACCAACCAGTTAGGGATGATCAGACTTCCAAGACAAGCGAAGTTGTCGACTCGTTCGACTACTTCACTTCTTATCCTTAATTCAGGCGTTGACACAGACCGGTCCTGAAGCAACAACTTGCATTTAGATGAGTAGGAACGCATCCCAAACATCCTGGCATTCTTGCTTAGTACAACCAAAAGACTGCATTTTATTAACGTCTTCACCAAACAGGACAATGTCATCTGTGTATTCAAAGTCGATAATTGGACCTCTTGGTAGGAGATCAGTTCCTGATAATCCAGTCGGCGAGAAAGTTATTTCCATCAGTACATCTATGATGAAGTTGAACAAAAATGGAAATAGTGAACAGCCTTGCCGGACACCACTTGTGGTTGTAAAATCAGATGACAGTTAGCCATAATCTCTGACTCGACTGGTTGTTATTGAGTAAAGAGCCTTCACATGGTTTATGTACTCCTGAGCTACACCTTTCAATGACAGACACTGCCACGGAAACTCTCGGTCAATATAGTCAAATGTTGCTTTTAAGTGAAGACCACCATTGTCGGACGCCGATAAGCATGCCTGTGTTCTGAAATCTGACGAACGGTGAATGTGGTCAATACAGCCACGATCAGATCTGAAGCCAGCCCGATTTTCTCGTGTTTGCAGTTCATGAGTCTTTGTTAGGCGCTCGATAATCATCGTGTTCAGAGCCGGATGTGATGAGTTTACGAGAACCTATCAGTGCAACAGACCTTGAAGAAATCCATTGGTTTTTTGTAACCTCATGGTTTAAACCACTAATAGGTGTCACTGCTGTTTCCACAACTGATTGTATAGCTTTCCAAGCAACATCTGGGTCAGCCTCGTTTTCAGAACCACATAGGAGGAATAATAGCAATTGAAGAGGGAAACTGATTATGAATGCTGTTAGAGTTATGGGGGCGGTTATCACTTCCCGGTCGCCAACACCGTGGAAGTGTTCTTCTGAAGGTACCTGAAAACAACATACGGTCTGGGGTGGGTTTTAGTGACATGAGAACGTTACCTCAGTGCCCGAGTGACAACTGCTCGAGGCGGGTCACACATGAGCTTTTTGTGAGTAAATTTCGTGTTAGCTCTGTACTTGTTGGGACCTTACCACCGGAGACGGAAATTTGTAAGATAAGACGAAGTGTGCATTTCTATGGTCGAGCCTTTCTAGCCCCATCCTTTCTTTGTTAGAAGGCAGCATCGCTGTTATGCTGGTTATCTGAAGAAAACACCTTACTGCTATCACACTTCTGTACAGTCAGCAGTACGATTCCGCCTTGGGTTTGCTGCTTTTAGTCTTACGGTTCTTCAACCGACCTGTCTGGTATGGTAAGACCTTGAGAAACGATTGTTTCAGACAGTATAGCTCGATTGGTTCATTACGGTAGGAAAACTCGAACACCACTTCAAGGTAGTAGCAACTGAAGATTATTACATTATTATTATACTGTTTATTGACTTTGATAATCTAACCGGAATGTAGACAGTAACCAATTAATCAGAGGCCTAGTTTAATTTCAATGATTGCATTTGTTAGTGGTTTTTGTTATATATGTAATCTACAAGAACCTCAACATTACATAGCGTATTCCAATCGAAGTCACTGAATGTCTATGTTATATCTTCTCATTAGACGATCGATACGCTTCTGTGAAAAGAATCACATGTAGGAATGTTTCATCACACGTCTAACAAAATAATAGCATGTTCTTGAGACCCTATTCAAATGAAATCGATAAAGTGTTTAATGTCAAAATAAGAACCGAAAGTTAACCTGGTAATACTGAATTTCTTCTCTCCATTTAATCGCTTGTTCTTCATGTTGTGTTTTAAATGCACGTAAATCTCTTGAATTGCTGTTCAATTTCTGTTTTAAGGTTTCACATTCAGCCTTTACTTTTTCTAAATCTTCGACACATTGACTTTCAGCTTGTGAATGACAGTGAATTTGATTCAATTGTTCTTTCAACTCTGAATTTTCACTAAAACAAAAGATAAACAAGAGAATTAGGTAAAATTTGTAGACTTTTAATAATAATGCTATGATTGCTAATTAAAAGCAAAGTTACGCGCTGAATTGGTAAAATAGTTTTGTCAGCAAAAACAGTTTTACGGTGATAAATACTTCAGAATGAATGATTTAGGAATGGTCTAAATTATTGCTTACATTGAATATAAGGATTGAAGCAGTTAAGTATACTCACAACTTCACTTAGTATGGGAATTTCATCAACTGATTTAGAAAGCCCGATTGGTTTTCTTCAGCTACTTGTCATCTGTGACGTAATTGAGATGTCCGTCTGATGACCAAAGAACAAGTATACTGGAGATCAGTTCATACTACACTACCCCCTAGCTGTTAAATGTGGTCTATGAAATTATAAATGTATAGGCTAAATGTTTTGATCATAAGTTTCTTAAAAGCATTGCTTGTGTATAATGAAACGATTGAATGAAGACTGAAAACGTTAGTCTTCGGCAAACATGCAACATCAGTTGATGAGACTGTGGATCTTCGTCAACTGAAGTGATTTGTACGTGTATTACGTATCTCTAACCACCACCTATCTCAATACAAAATGATAGCTTGTGTGCGAGTAAGATGAAAAAGAATTAGATGCGGCCCAACTAAGACGTGCCACCAGTTTATCAAGTCATTGAATGTTGGTTTGAATAATGTTGTCAGATACAGACAATTTGGTTAGGATTAGTGTGAAAGCCACAATCAATGGTTAAAGACATTTAGTAACATGCCTAAGAACCAATTAAAGCGGAACAAATGCATGCACTCTTCTTGAAGCCCATGACTTTTATTATTCCTTCATACATACATTTTTATTCCTTTGTTTTGAATTATGTTTGCAAAAAAACATTGAAACAAAGAGTGTTTATGTCAGGTAATTGAAGAAGAAACAGAAAATACAGAGTCTGTGGCTTTTGTGGACCAATCGATAAGCCTATCTGGCGTGGTAAAAGGAATGCTGCTTCCTATAGGATTCAAGCATGAGTCATCATCCAGTGTAACAGTAAGGGACACTACTAATCAGTTAGTCATGGAATGACCGACTTCCCAGATGTGTTGTTAATTAACCCTAATAACTACGACACCAAGATTCAGAGCTTTCAGTCAGTCGCTCTTCTTCAAATATCAGAAAATTCTACCACGATGTTCAGTCATCTGGGCTGATGCTTATACTTAACCGATTAAATATGATTAAAAATAGACAAGACGATATGACATGCAATGGTTACTGTTAGCGGGACATAGACTGGATTAAAGCATGCTCAATGCACCATTGCTTTGCTGCACGCTGATGGGCTAGTTCTTATCCAACCAGCGTTAGCCAATACTTAGTGAACACTCTAGAATCATCTCATGTAACAACTATAAATATACTGACATTTTCCCTATTGTTGTTGGGATATTCAGAAAAATATCCCAAAAACAATTATCCGGTTAAGTCTAATGCTATCCTTGAACGTTAATGGTGTCATTTCGCTATTGGTCGTTTCCCTGCTAATCAATATTTATTTCGCGTGTCATTTCCCCATTGGTCAATATTATTTCACGTGTTATCTTTCTGTTGGTCAATATTTATAGTAATCCTAACTGCATAAATATGCATTTGTTTGTAAATCATTATTCGGCTCCGGACCCCATAAACAATTTTTCGTCTACGGTTCGTGTTCTGATATATTGGAGATTGGGAACAGTATTGGGGTCGAACTGGGACATCTGAAGCTGGTCAATCGGTAGAAATTAGAGTAGCCACCTCGCGATACACAATAATTGTGCTTCTTGCTTCCATCAAACCTTGTTATTTGGAATATAATCTCTTTCCTGTTCAACCGTGTTCTGATTTGGGGACTTGTCGAGTGTACTAGTGTCCAAAAATACTAGCAATAGGAATAAGCTGGGTTATACCGTAAGAAAGAGATCATAACAGTTACCAACTATGTTTTTAGTATACAATAATATGTATTACATGTAAAAATACGTATATTTAGGATAAAAACATACTTACTTGATGAGAGTCTCCAGTTCCTGTTTTTGGTCAGATATTTTAATTTCATTCTTACTGATTTGAATCTAATTAGTATATGCATAAAAATGTTGCTTAGTAGTACCTCATTTCATATATATTAAATAAATGAAACAAATACATTGTTTTCTTACATTTTCACAGTCAAAAACTGATCACTTGAGATAAGAAGGAGAGTTCACGCTTTATCTAAGTCAGTGTAACAATATATGACATTTTTTACTATTCCCAGTGTAACAATTTAGTTAATAAGGATATCGGTATAAATAAATAAATATATTTGTAATATCCCAATGAGTAGAAAAATTGGATTTTCTGAAATTTTGAGAAAAAATAACCAAATCAAAATTAATCCAAGTTTAAATAGTACAAAGGAACAACTCAAGAATATTAATGTGTGATCATAACATTCTTGCGTTGTTCCGTCGTACTATTTAAACTTATATTAATTTTGATTTGGTTATTTATTCTCTGAAGAAGTGGCTTACACTGAATCACAAAATGTCAGAAAATTTAGTTTTTCTATTCATTGGGACATCACAAATACATTGATTTAATTATAATAATCTACCCACTGCTCAATTTATTTGAAATTATCATGTCAAACTTTGATAATGATACCTACAATATGATAACGGGTTTATATCTCTCAGTGTAACATAATTTCAAGCCAATGTGTAACGTATTAATTAAGTGTTAACTTTAATCAGAATATGTGAAAACTCTACGTCCAGTGTGACAATTATATTCTTGTTATTATCTTATATGAACTTCATGTACGTTTCACAGTAAACTTTTTCATTTATATAATGTTTATTAACTAAGATCAGTATATAAATGAATGTAATTGGTTTGACATCGTTGTTTTTTCAAGTCAGTAAATCTTTATTATCTCAATCTTTGAGTCTACACTTCGCATTGTGGCAATCCCATTGGTTCCCGTATCCAAGTGTAAGTAATAGGATAGCGGACATTACAAAAACGTATTCATCATATCATTTGAATCCTACTCAGCAACATAAGTAATCTAAATAACAACTGACTTTTGCATCCGAATCATTATTATTAGTAGTATTGATAATGTTATACATAGAAAAATATATACTAAGAAATTGAAAATTGAAATATATTTCAGTGAGGATTGATTACCTTAAGAATTTCTTGTTGTTCTTCCAAATTATTTATCACTTTCGTTTGTTTAGTAGAATTGGCTGATTTAAAACAAGGTCAAATGAAGGAAAAAAACATGAGTCAATAACTGTAATTTGTGAAATGATAGTGTTTACCCGTAAATTGATTTAAGAAAGTAACTATTGTTTAAAATGCTACACGGTATACGTAATAATAGTAACCATAATGGAATAGAACACAGTTTCCATACATTTATCTTTGAATAGCTAAAACAACATATAGTATCAGGTATAATAGCATACTAGTCATACAAATTAGTGACAAAAAATATGTTGGTCTTATCTCGTTAAGGTAACGGTGGGAACCAAGGTGCACTGGCGGACTTATTCGTCCTAGCAACATACTCGTTTAAGTGAAACCTGAAGGTCATAGATTCAACCCAAAAAAGAGATCAAGGGTTCGTGCTGCTGAAAGTCATGGAATCGGACAGGACAACTATCCATTACTGCTAGACTATTGATAATATCCCAAATGACATTAATCTGTGCAGAATATAGCCTAAAAACAGAACCGATTTGAGCAAAACCCCTTCAACAATAAAATACATTCGACGCCTAAGAGTTTGTGATTCAATTGCAATGATCAAGTATGAAGTATATTCAAAAGTAGCATTGACAATTATTAGAAAAATCAATTAATAGATAGATTTATAATTACCTAGTTGAATACCAAGTATCTCTTCCTTATTTTCTAAACTGCTTCGCAGCCGTTGAACTTCAACAGTTAATTGTTCAATTTGTTTCCTAGAAGAAAAAAACACCAGTCAAATAACAAGGATAAATAAAATGTAAGAGTCAAAGACAAAAAATTATATGATATTAAAGTACATAACAAATATATAAGTAATACACAAACAGAAATGTCTACAACACTATTTATTTATGTATTAAGCGCTAGTCGGATATCTTCAGCATCTAAAAACTTTGTATTATAATGTCTATTTTACAGCTGCCTATTGAATGTGTTTATAAAACAGAATTGTTAGATAAATTAGAGTTAGAACAAAACAAATTATACAATTTTCAATTTTCGGAGGTCTGGAGACTAGCTTAAAATTCAATATGTAGGTAATTAATTGCCATAATCCATTCGAGTAAACTATATATACTGTCAAATCTACAGTGATTTCATAAGGAGCTTCAAAGAAATAAAGTTGAATAAACTTTCAAAGGAGACTTGTAGAATAAATTAAGAGTGAGGCTAACAATTGAATGTAAGATGAGCATTTCATCCGGATTGGGACTCATCAGCTGGATGGTACATCCTGAAGCGAAAATAACATTATAAATTGAATGAATAACTTGCTGAGAACAAGAAATAAATAATGACAAGGGAAAAAACAGTAAAGAAATTTGACTATGAATAGTGATTTATTAGTTTACTTCATCAGAATTATACTAGACAGTAAGAGAAAGAATACAAATGAACACATTAAAAAGTTTTCTTTATTTATAGAATACATATAGAGTGATAAAGACAGTAGAAGTATTGAATACACAATTCAACTTACAAATGTGATGCTTCTGTCTGCTTGCTTTTTTTCTGTTCTGAACGAAGCTTTTTTAATAGATTATTTGTCTTCAACTGATCAGCAGATAATTTATGACCTTCTTTTAATAAATTCTCAATTTCTTCATTTTTCTGCAAAATTACATTCTCTAATTCATTTACACGTTTTCTGTCATAATATTTAGGGGAAGAAAAGACGTAAACAATAAAATAATCAGTCAGTCACAAACAATGTAGAACCTAGCAAATATGTGCATCGCTTCAACTTGTTATATCGTATTAGCGCATCCAGATGAAATTATCATGATGAATACCATGTTATTAGTATTGTGGCGTGTGCTACATATACGGACAGATATAAGTAGTATGTATCAGGCATGGGAAGTAGACGTGAGAAAACTGAAAGCAATCAGAAAAAGCAACAAGAATTGAGAAACAATGAAGTTTGTGAGACAATCCAAAGAAGATGTGCAAATGGTGTATTTAATGTATGATTTTCATATTTTACTGAGCCATGGTGTGACTTTCCATTAAACAATAAATCGGTCATCCCTACCAAACCTTCGTTCACTACAGTATCAATAATAACGAAACAGATTAGGCGTAGAATGTATTCGTGAAATAAAAAGTACAAAATGATGTCGAAACTCGGGACCTAATTGTGGACAGAGAATGGATGTAAATGCACCATTGCAACTGAATTTGAGACATATCACGAAAAGTATTCAACTACTGATCATGGTGGTCGCAAGAACACTAACCAGATAGTTTACATCTACCAATATAGCCCAGTACAACAGTTAGTGACCTAATGGACTGGCACGACATTTTGGTTTGGTCATCCCTAGCTTTCTTCCAACCTACTCACCCTCAAATCAATATCGCGCGTCGATGTAGGCGATGTTTGGCAACACATGATAATCAATGATTGACAGAATTATTTCCAAAAAAAAGATTTCCTTTCCGAAATCTAATTAGCATGAACACCATTATATAAAATCTAGATAAAGCCACCTTAATGAATAATAACCAACTCAATATTTAACCGACCCTCTACAATGTATGCATCTAAAATCTATCAATTACATAGGTTTGAGCAGACTAGTAATATAAATAGCCCTCTTACATGAGGTAAGGCACACAGACGAACACAATAGATCGGTGCACTTGGTAGATGAGTTACTGCATCATATTCCTCTAAAAAAGTACTAGGCAAAATGGAAGCCTATAATTGACGAATAAGTTATATTAAATTCAACAGTCGCGCACCATTTCAGTGTCCAAATTACTAAGTTTTACCACACCACGTAAGAATTTAATATGAAGAAACCAATTTATTATAGAACCATTCAATAAATTGATTATACTTGGATGATAAACTTACAGTTCAATTAAAGAATATTTTTTGATTGATATATGCGATTAGTTTTATAGTTATGTTCAGAGTAAAATAAACACGTAATGTGGTTAAGTATCTGTTTAAGACAATTTGTTCATATAATGGTAGAAACTTATACTTATAAATGAGCAACAAGTACTTAGCGACAATCATGTTTGATATAGTTTTTTTGACGAATAGATGAAATAGATAGCGAACTCCATATGTAGAAAATAGAGTATCTGAAGGTTATGATGCTGCACCACATTTATTTCGCTCGCAAGACATCCCGTTACCAAAATTATAGAACAGTGTATGGAAGTTGCATGTGTGTGTGAAGTGTAAAATGTAATATGCTTATTGCGCAACAGCAATAAGTATTAGATAGAAGCTTTAAAATGCTGAATCAGTGATTTAAAAAATTAACAGAATGATTGAAAATTGTATTTCTATGCTTTTGACTGAAGTTGGAGAATAACTAGCAGTAGAATACAAGACTCGTATTTCGTCGTATTTAGTAATAACCGGTTGGATATACCCACCACATCCCATGGTTGATGTTCAAACTGAGAATAGAACGCAGTATCTCTCTCTTTAAAGTTACCATGCTTATACTAGAACAACGGGAGGAAAGTAACTATGAGTTGAAATTAACATCATGAAAATAAAGAAAAATATATGCATGGTGATAAAACGCTGAAATATAATAATAAAAGTAACTTACATATCATTATTTACAAAAGGTTTATCATCACCTACAGCACGTGTGATCACCGGAATTTTTTGTTTCACTGATGATAAACTTTTTTTCAATTGGTCTCGTTCACGACAAACAACCTGTAATCGTTTCTCTGTATCTGATAAACGTTGAGAAAACTCTGAGGTAATACTGGACACATCAGTAGTGACAATTTCTTGTGTGGTCAGTGTAGTTTTTAATTGCCTATAAAATAATAATAATAATAATTTAAAACAATTAGTCCCTTTGATAAATTTCGATAATGCAATGAGAAGATGTGCAGATCACCTACACATAATCTGGCTAAATGGTTAGCAAAGTTGTTGGATCCTATTCGAAGACATCTATGTAAGTTTTCTCTAAAGGATTCTTTTGAACTGGTTGATCATTTAGATGATATTAATATCAAGGAAAAGACAATGTGTTCATTTGATGTAAATTCCTTGTTTACAAATGTACCTTTAAAAAAACCATTGATATATTATGGGATTACATATCTGAAAACAATCTTCAATCACGTGTACCTTTAAAACTTCTTAAAGATTTACTATTACTATGTACTGACAAAGTTCAGTTCACTTTTGAAGGTGAATACTTTCGTCAGATTGATGGAGTTGCTATGGGTAGTCCGCTAGGACCATTACTAGCAGATGTGTTCATGGCACATGTTGAAAATCAGACTGATGAATTAATCGGAAACATGTCACTTTATAAGAGATATGTGGACGATATCTTAGTTGTTTGTGAGAAAAAAGAGGATATGTATGGTTTATTAAATAAACTCAACACTCTCCAAAACCATATTAGTCTCTCATGTGAAGAGGAGAAAAACGATCAGCTTCCCTTCCTAGATATACTCCTGAGTAGACGAGAAGATGGTTCAGTAAAGCGATCTATCTTTAGAAAACCAACGTGGACAGGTCAATATCTTAGTTATTATAGTTATTGCCCTATGCAATACAAACGTGGTTTGATAAGGTGTCTTTTCAACAGACTCGACCGTATTTGTACCAATGACGCCATTGATGATGATGTTAAGTTGTTAAATAAAACGTTAATAGAAAATGGCTATCCTCTGAAATTCATAAATAGATGGAAAGTCCATGGTACAGCGAGACCTACTGTAGCCTCGGTAGAGAAAAAGCCTGTCTACATCACCTTACCATTCAGAGGTGATTCAAATAGCCTTTTACTGAAACAACGTCTTAAATCAGTCATCAATAAAACCTATTGCGCAGCAAAGGTCATCATAAAAGAAAGAACAAGGTGCATGCTTCATTCAAAACCTAAAGTACATGGAAACGATTACGTCACATCCCACTGTGTTTACCAATTTAAATGTGTGTGTGGTCACACATACATAGGGAGGAGTAATCGTGATCTCAACATTAGGGTGAGTGAACATGTACCCAAATGGCTTCAGAAACAAATACAATCAAGTGGCCCAATAAGAGCAGAGGATAAACATCCATCATCCTCTATTGCTAAACATATAATTGAAACAGGTCACAAGATTGATCTAAATTCAGCTTTTGTAGTGCTGTATAAAAGTGTAAAAGGGCGTATACTAAGGTTCATTGAAGCCTTAGCCATACGAAAATTCAAACCCCCTTTATGTGTTCAAAAACAGTTTGTTCTTACAGATTTAAATCATGAGTCAGTTGAAGCTAGACCACCATTGAAAACCTGGAAGCACTGGACGGCCGTTTCGTCCTAGTATGGGACTCCTCAGCAGTGCGCATCCACGATCACGCACCACGCGGGGCTCGAACCCAGGACCTACTGGCTCACTAGTGACTGACTTCAAGAGATACTCCTGGAGTTCTAGTGGGAAGCCGTTACCAGTGGAGTTCAACCAGGTCTGTTGTGAGATATCAGCTCACTGAAGACAATGGTGTACGGTGGCGCGACTTCGTGGATTGGTTGAAGTTAGACATTAACACCGTTGGATGCCGGCTCAGTGGTCTAATGGTTAAGTGCTCGCGCGCGAAGCCAGTAGGTCCTGGGTTCGAGCCCCGCGTGGTGCGGGATCGTGGATGCGCACTGCTGAGGAGTCCCATACTAGGACGAAACGGCCGTCCAGTGCTTCCAGGTTTTCAATGGTGGTCTAGCTTCAACTGACTCATGATTTAAATCTGTGAAAATTTCTAAAATCTCCACAAACCTCTTCTGAGTTTGTTCTTACCTTAAATCTACCCTGGTATTATTGACTTATTATCCAGAGTGATTAGGTTTCGCTTTGTGTTCACATTATTATTATTATTACTCTTATCATTATCCTTATCTCCTCTTACCCCATTTCCTGTCTAGTTGACCTTTTATTTTTATATATAAATGCTCTTAACAAGTATATGTGTGATCAGATTGTTCGAAATGTATTGCGCTAATATATCACATAGTTCTGATAATCTTCGTCTTCTCATTGCATTATCGAAATAATAATAATAATAATAATAATAATAATAATAATAATAATAATAATAATAATAATAATGTTAAAACACTAGAAGATGTAAACAAAAGTTGACAGAAAGGAAGACACTAATAAGTAAAACTTCGATGCTGTAGAAGGATGTACCATAACCTTGAAATTAACATATCATGTTAAAGATGCTCCAACATATATAAAGCCAATTTATCGATGTAACTATGACATTTAAAAGATACGACGAAACAATACAAACGTTCGTATAAAAATGCATTATCAAGACAGTTTCAATAAATAGAAACAAAGCGTTGAGGGGAAAGGGAATTCAAAAGTGTATACCACTAGATTATCACTCATTGTTCTAAAATGTTGTGATCTCTTCAATATCTGCATATCTTCGTCCTATTCTCCACAAGGTTTGAGGTTCACTCGATTAAAGAGTCCAAAATCAGAGAAAAACAGGTTCCTAGTTTTTATTGCTTTCTAAAGCTTCTTTAACTTTTATTTCAAAATGAAAATATCTTTGCGTTATACCAAATCTCTCAAAATCCGGACAGCTTCGATCAGCCCGATGAAGCCTCCAGAGGTCCTCTGAGTGAATAGCTCATCTCCTAACCCACCCGGTTTAGTCCTGATCTGGAGCTTATTGGAAGTGGATTAATTATCCTGACATAAATGATGTAATCATCTGATCTTGAGAAGCTAAAAGTAGGCTCTACTGACATTGAAATAACAATTTCATTAAAAGTGCACATACTGATCTTTATGTGGACAGACAGTCTTGTAATACCAACCTCCACATGACCAGCATGGAGATGATTGATGATAAAAAAACGTTTAAAAATAATATAAACTCGAAAAGAACCACCTAATAAAAATAGATCATTTATAAAAAATTAGTTTTGTAGAAACAATCACATGTTAAGAGATTTTCGAAAAATTAAACTGGATAACGAGAAAATATATATTTCTATTACATACTCTTGCAATATTGAGACTGAATTCTGTAGTACGTTGTTCTCATGGCTAAGTTGCATAATTTTTGCTTCACGAACATTTAGTAAATGTTTGACATCGGAGAATTTCTGAAGCAACAAAAATAAACAGCATTGAAAAATATTAAACAATAAATTGTATGAAATATCTCTATGTGAATCGTTCAAGTTCGAGATATGCGTGAACCGATAAAAGTTTTCAAAGATACCTAGCTAGATTAGTCGAGTCAAATAAAACTACTTACGAATCGATTAAAGTTACGATTATACACTACTGAATGTATACTCTGTGGTCTAGAGGTTAATCGCTCACAGAGAGACATGAAAGCTTTGGGATCAATCACCGGTAGGAATCACGGATGAGCACTGCTAAGGAGCTCTATACTTGAACAGAACAGCTATCTAATGCTTTTCGGTTTTTAATGGCTGACGAACAAAGGTTAGTCCATAGTGTAAACTATGAAGTAGTTATAAGTATGTATCCATGAGTAATTCACCTCCTAACAGAAATAACCACTGAGTTTAACAGAATTTGGAATTAATTTTTCTATCACTGAGGAAATAAACTCTAAAACATGTTAAAACTTGCTAGAAATCACATTATGCTGCTAAAATTGTTATTGCATTTATTTGGTGTGATATCCAAATTTATGGTAGTATCTTCTTTTCATGAATCTAAAGGCACTATCAGCCAATACTCTAACCCGCTCTTCACGTCATAGTATTGGAATTTATTCCAGTCCATAAACTCTATGTAACATCAAATTAGTAAAGCAGTAAGTTGGGAGTTAAATGGATCCTGATATCGGCATATAACTTTATGATTAATATTGGGAAGATAAAGCTCAGAAAGTCCAGAACTTAGAGAAGCAGTAATCTATTCTAAAGATTTTACTTATGGAGTTCTTATAGAATAGTTCAAGTTAGACTATGCATAAATGACGATCAACTAGGATTAAGCTTTCTGATGTCAAAATTAATATTACGTTTGTGCCTAAAATGTTATAAAAGTTGAGTTTCCTCAACACAATCAAGATAATAACAATAACTAGGTCCTTTGAGTTGCTCATTTTCACTCCAATAAACTTGATCACATACTTCTAGAACCTCGAAAATTATCATCATAAATCTGTACATCAAAAAATTTCCAGATTCACGCTGGACTTTCCTAACAATCCTTTACTCTGTGAGAATGCATTACTACTAGAAATCCTGTTTATTCTTAGGAATTTTCTCACCAATCCCACATCCAGCACAGTTAGCAATCAATTTGACTTCTCTAACATCTGACATAGACTACGTTTGATTTTAGCTGCTCTCCGGCTAATCTACCTGACACCATAAACAATTAAGAAATAGACATTTCACCTAACATAGCTGCTACCCTAATATTTTGAGTGTTGGATGCTTAAAACACTGTACCGTTACTAAATTATTGATCATGAACACCATATAGTATCATTTTACGTGCTTAAAAAATTAAACATAAAAACGGTCATAGACTAAATTATCATGAAAACTAGGAACTGTTTTTGTTAGGAGGTAGATATATTCTCTAGAGAATTTTAAATCCATATTAAACCAAAATCAGTATCCATATGTTTAAAGAATAGTAAACCTTTTAAAAAAAAATTTAGAATAATACTAATCTCACTAACCTTAGCGAGGTCATGATAGGCAAATGTCAAATCATCGTCAATAGTCTTTTGCAAACCTTTACAATTAAAACAAAAACAAACAAACTTATTTTTGTCGCCGAACATGTAGTTTAAGTTTAAGAACTCGGAATAATCGGTACAAAGATTTACTATTTCAATTTCATTTTAATCAATATGTTTTTCAGTACAACTGTTACTTGAATACGAAACAGGTAACTGTTCAAGTTTTTTAGAAACCAGATGAATAAGTTTTTATTATTTTTATCCTGAACCTTTCATCATAGAAAATAATCTTAATACTTTTTGATAAAGGTAAGATCAAAGAACAATTGGTAATGAGTTCGACAAGGAATTGTTAAGTATGTAGACACCATTGACATACAGTTTAATGATCTAAACCTTGATTGAGATGAGAATTTTTATTTTCTATTTCGACTTTTTAAATAGATAAATAGCAAATCGGTCTGTCAAAAATCTAATTTGATTAGACCAATCAGTCAGTCATAAGAATTGTAAAACCTGACACATGTGCATCAATTCAAGTTGCCACACCAAATTAGCACATTGAGATAAAATTATCAAGGCAAATCCCAAAATAACAGAAGTAGTAACACTGTCAGTAATAGTAGGGAAATTGTGTATGCTATTTATGTCTCTCGACATAAGTAGTATGTAACGCCAATCAAAAGTTGAATGACTGGAAGTAGATAGCTAAGAAGATAGGATTGAAGAAAGCAGAAAGGTATTGAGAAGTGGAAGAATCATGAAGTATGTAGAGGATAATTGATGGAAGATTTGTAAATGAAGTATTTAACGTATTTCTTTTCAATTAGTTTTTCATCATGGCTCCACACTAATATATATATATATATATATATATATATATATATATATATATATATATATATATATATATATATATATGAGCAGAGCTTTGAAGACACTTATGGTAGAATACTAGTAGCCTACAAATATTTATTCTTAGTGGTTATGTTTTACACCCATAAAAAAGGGTGAACTGATGAATAGCAAACTTTTCTGGAGTCGGCAAACGTACATCTCACCTATGCTACCAATAACGCAAGTTAGCAAAAGCCACTCAAACTTTCTAGATCCCTTACGAGATTTCGCCAGACACTAACACATCAGAGTTGGTGAGACTAACATACGTTAAGTGGTCGATCCCTTCAACTACTTTAATTCCTGTCGTTAATTCAAGTGTTGATGTAGGCAGGTCCAGAAGCAATATTTTCAGTTGAAAGGAAAAAATAGCATCACAAGCATACTTGCACTGTTCTTCGTGGTGATCGTTAGAATCCGTATTTTGTCATCTTTACCAAACAGAACTATCATTTGACAAATTGCTAAACAGTTAGACGATGAGGACGTTGCAACTGTAAGAACGTCTATGACAAAGTCGAACAAAAACGGAGAAAATGGAGAACCCTAATGGACACCACTTGAGGTAAGCAATTCTAGTGACAGCTCACTGTGAACTTCATTAGTCCAATAAATAATCGAACTCAGTTATGAATATACGAACGTGTGCAAACGAATAAGAATTATAATATGGTGAACAGTTGCTGATAAGCCCAGGACTGCGGAATTACACTTTATCCAAACATTTGTTATTTGTATATAATATTTTATATATTGTTCGTTGAAATTGGTCCCCATTTTATATGATCATATAAAATCTGTGGGACTATATAAACCCACATTTTATGCTTGTTGGGACTCGTCAAAATACATAACTACACAATTAAGGAGTGCATTGAAATCCTTCCTCAGTGCTCTAATATGTACCACCCAAATACTCCGCAGTCAAGGGTATTAGCATAATTAGGAAACCTCAAACCAGATTTCGATAGTGTTAAAAGACATTTTGAAATATCGCCATGATTTAAAACAAATTTATGTGCATTAGATTACTCAAATCAGTAGACAAAGAAGCTACTATATTATGGTATCTTTTCCACTCAGTTTCCCTAAACAAGAGTGATGAATAACAAGAAATCAATATTTGACACAATCTAAGATTGGATATGTTTAGGCTTTACTCTATGCCACCTAATTCAGTGAAAATGATTTATTTCTAGTGATAAAAAGTTTTTAAAACAGGTTAAGGATTTAAGTAGAATAAACGGTGTATTTCACTGATCACTAATAGCATTTTTACGCATAAGCAACAAACCGTGTACAGACGAAATACCTGCCTTAAGAAATAAATGTATATGAGTTTTAAATGCTGTTGGGAATATAAGGGCGGTTTCCCCTTCCCGGTTGGTCACATCGTGGAAGTACATATCTTAAGGGAACTGAAACAGAAACTGGGTTAGGGGTAGCAATGCCGACTTGGAAGAGTAACCAGTGCCTAAGTGACAGCTCCTCGGGGCCTTTTCTTGGATAGCCTTAGATAATGTCACCTCAATCACTTTGGGACCTTGATGATGGACGTCCTTGAAGTAAGGACATGCGTTTTATTTTGGTCCAAACTTCCCTAACTCCTAGTCCAGTCGTGAGAATGCAGCACTGACGCAGATACTGGTTGTTTGAGGAGAACTCCATGCTGCAGTATGAATTTGACCACGGACTATGAGTTTGTTATTTTCAGTTTTACTGCTTTCCAACCAACCTGCCTTGTACAACAGAACCTAAAGGAACACGTTTCCCAACGAGTTTTGCCAACATATTTCTACTGAGTTATTACGATATGGAAGCACGACCATCAGTACATCAAGGTAACAGCTACGGCTGGCGGAAAATACATATGAAGCAAAACAATTGATCTATAAATATGTTTCAGATGAATTAAGGACTTTAAAAATATTTTTAGACTGAAGTGATCTTTCGAAATGAAACGAACTTTTCTTCAACAGTATTAAATAGATTTTAATCAAAAATAATATGAAACAAAATATTCATTACCATTGAGCTTACCCATACATAAATCTTGCGAAACACTAACAGATCTACGATGTTCAGGACCACTAGAACTAAGAAAGTGGAGTAACAAGAAGTTTAAAAAAAACAATAAAACTAAAATATGAAGGTCTATGATGACATAGTATTTGGTGGAAAAAAATAGACATGTTGAAAGTTGAAACTTTCCCCAAAGTCAGACTTCTTCCAAATATAACGCTCCATACAAAATGACAGCTTGTTATGCATAAACGTTTTCACATATTGAAATTGTACCTACTTATCACAGAAATCAGAAATTGAAAATGTAATCTGATGAAACAAAAAATGCACGAGATACAATAATGCAGAACTTTTGATAAGTGTTGGTTTATGTTTCCAAATTTGTAATATCGATTATGATTTATGATACTCTAACAGTTAGTATAATGATTTGCATAAAAACGAAACCAAGATCCCAGTGCTTGTTTAAAAGAAATAATTGAAGTATTTGAAAAAGACAACCAACAAATCTAAAATACTATATTAGGCTTACCATTTGTTTAAAACAACCGGAGCACTAAATCCTCTAAGAGAATATTTTTGCAAAACAAGTGAGTTTTGATTGAATCCCGATGACAAACGTGGCTCTTTAACAGGAGACATAATAGTAGGTGTATTAGAAGAATGTAACTCGTGGACTTCACCACCATGTGTAGAATTACAACACGAAATTACTTCAATATCCGAACTAGTGGTATTAGTATCAAAATCGTCATCGGCACATACTGGTTGAGCAGTGAATGGTAGTACTATATCAGATGAAGAACGATGCAAAGAGGTAATATCTTCATTTGGAATTGATTTATTCACTAACTGAAATTCTTTTTCTAGGGATGATAATTGCGAGTTTACATCAACAGCTGATTCTTGTGCAATGTATTCCAAAGAAATTGTTACTTTTGGTGCATCACACTTCTTTTCGCATAAATCCTGTGATGTTTTTTGTTCAGTGACAGTAGAACAATCATTAACTACTGTAGAATCTACTTCCCACTGTAATACAGAAATATTAAATCCTGATTAGTTTGACAAATGGATATTTAACTCTGAAAGTAAGTATGAATGTGTTGTTTAGATCAATAAAAATACCAAGGCTATATTGCACTGCAACAGGTAATTTTCTAAAGTTCTAATATGAAAACAGTGACGTCAAAAGACCACTCATCGTATCTTCACCGAATAATTCGAGCGCGGTCCAGAAAACCTAAATTGTATGGGTACCGATAATAGAGCTAAGGCGAATAAGCAAACACAACACTGAAAAAAATACCACTTCAAGGGTCATATCTTAGCTAATCTAAATGAAAGGATGGGTCCCACAAGTACACTATTATATTCAGGTGTTCTAGAGACAATTATCCCTCAGAGAACTATCCAATAAGTTATCTCTTACTGAATTCATGTGAACTGATTTGCTTTCTCAAGTCGCTCTGATTTATTAAAGATAAATGAATAATGTAATACTGTGTCCACTTATCATTGACTTCATGGACTTGTGCCATGTTTTGGTCTGCCCAACCCTAGCTTTCTTCCAACCTACTCCTACACCATAAAATATCACACGTCGGGGCAGTCGGTGGTTGGGCATACATAACACGTGTCCCAGTCATCTCAACTGATAACGTTCCAATACTTCATCAATTGATTTGCCATCCTTACCTAGTACCCGTTTCCTAACAACTGCATTACTTATTCGGTGGTCCCAGGATATACGAGCAATATTTCGAAGACACCTATGATCAAATACTAATAGTCTACGAATATCCTCTACTCTTACTGGTCATGTTTCACTGTCATAAAGTAGGACGGAACGAACTGCTGCGCAGTAAACCGGTCCTTCGTTTGATAGACAGATATCTCGCCCATGCCATAAATGACGCGAGTTGACAAAAGCTAGTCGAGCCTTCTGTGTCTGTGCTGGGATTTCGTCACACACCAGATCACAAGGGCTGACAAGACTTCTGAGATAAGTGAAGCGGTCGACACGCTTAACTACTTCACTCCCTATCATTAGTTCGGGTGTCGATGCAACCCAATCCGGAAGTAACATTTTGCATTTTGAGGGGGAATCGTATGCCGAACGTGTTTGTATTGTTGCTTATGGTGGTCAGAAGACTCTGTATTTTTCAGCGTCTTCACCAAATAGAATTATGTCATCGGCATATTCCAAGTCAACAATTGAATCTCCCGGTAGAAGTTCAACACCTGGAAATTTAGATGAGGAAAGTGTTATCTCTAAAAGCACGTCAACGATAAAGTTAAACAAGGATGGAGAGAGTGGACAGCCCTGAAGAACACCACTTGAGGTAATCAATTCTGATGACAGTTCTCCATAAGTTCTCACTCGGCCAGTTGTGTTTGAGTAGAGGGCTTTTATAAGATTAATGTACTTCTTTAGTACTCCTTTCAGTGACAAACGCTGTCATAGAACCTCACGATCAACATAGTCAAATGCCGCCTTAAGGCCAACCTACCTAACATAAAACAGTAAGAAGCTGTAACATTTCAAATAGGCCTGATCTAACACTTTACATGTTTTGCTTTATTATAAATTTTCATTATTGTTCCCTATGGAATTAAAAAGGTTGCATGGGTTAAAATTACACAAACATCAAGCAGATACACTGTAACGCCCAATAAAAGATTAAACTGACGTGGTTTATTGACCACTTGTAAAACAAAATATCCTTTTCTTGTTAACCAATGAATCAAATTTACCTGATCTCGAAATTCAAGATTGCTATACACACATGAAAAAAATATGCTTGAAAACTTGAATTTATAAAATTATCGCCAATAACGTGTTCGAAATTAGAAACAATGGGATTATTCGATTATTTTATGGACTGTAAAATGAGATACTATTTTTGTAACACCACCCTGACAAAATGGAGAACTACATGCGTGAAAAAACACTTGGCAACATTTTAAACAGAATAAGCGGAAATCAAAACGAATGAAATTAATTCTGTCTGGCAAAAGCAAGTAACAAGTATGCACAAAGCAATAAAGCTGTCAAGTGTAAAACTTAGCAGGTGTTTTAGATTTAAGTGAAATTAGTCACAAATCCTTGTTACTAAAAGCTGCGTCATGCATAGGTTTTAAAAGTGCAAGAATATCGTAATACGCTCTTAGAAAGTTGCGCATCAAAATGTCACCCCATAAATATGAATGTATCGCTGTTTGTATTCCATCTAACAAAAAAATATCATGATCTTAACAAAAAAGACAGCTATTTTTAAGTGTTCAAAACAGTGAGTGGAAATGGTAAAATAAGATCTGTTTGTATATATCTTTCTTAGTAGAAGAAAACATAAGATGTGAAGACCTACCAACTCATCAGTTTTAATGTTCTCATCAGTTAGCACCTTATCGGAATCACTGGATGCGAAATTGTCTGATTGATCGTAAACAACTTTTTCCAGAGAATCCATAAGAGGTGAGTGATGACTTCCTAATCTTGTTGAACAAGATCTCTCCAAATCTCCGCAATCGCTGCCTACTTCACACTCAGATTTTTCTGAAATTAGGTAGTAACCAGTGATGTTAATTAATGAATCTAAGAATGAAAAAAGCTTTCAGCCTCGCATTACTAATATTAATTGAGATTGAAAATACGAAGTAAGCATATGAATACAATACAAATAAACTAAAAGACGTTACCTGTAATGATATCAATCTTCAATGTTAACGACTTTTCTCACAGTTCCTCACCTACGCCATCGAACTGTAATCTTATACCGCCAAAAGGATACATCTTTATTTATTTTTGACAATGGAACACTGAATTTAGATAAAATAAACAGTGATGGTGCTAGTGCTATTGCAAAAAATAACTTATTCGAGAAATGAGATTTTATTTATTTATTTATTTGAACACATAAATATTGGTACAAGGGGGCACCAGATATTTATGCGCAAAACAATGTGAATGGGGAGACAAAAAAAGAAGAAGAGGAACAATAATGACCAGATTAGTGTAAGGAAGTGTAATAATAATAATAATAATAGGGGATACGGAAAGGTACAACCAGAAAGAATTCTTTCAGTTAAGGAAGACAACCATTTTTTATGAAGAAAGTAAAAGAAGTTTACAGCAGGATCGCCACTGGCTTCTATTCCGAGCTATATCTGATAACGTCTCTAGCCACTGTGTTGCACCATCTCTCGGACCCCAACCAAGGAGTCGTGAAAGACCAGCAGAAGCCAGTCCCGTGAAGCTTTCTTTCATACCCCGACACCATGTCATACACTGACCACCTCTCCGCTTGTTCCAACTAGTCCCAGAGTCGGCAAGTAATGCACGACGTGGGATTCTCTGGGACAACATTCGTAGAATATGTCCAAGCCACCGAAGTCGATGTTTCAGGATGATGACACCAACTGAATTATCGTCTCTGTGCCCAAACATATGATGCTGAACCTCTGCATTATTACTGAATTGGTGTTGACACTGGATGTCAGCAATCCTTCGGAGACAACGATGATCAAACACAGAGAGTCGTGTAACACCCTCAACTCGGAGAGGCCAGGTATCACAAGCATAGAGCAAAACTGCTCTCACCGACGCGTTTTAGATCCGACCTTTTACAGTCAGACTGACGTGACGAAGGCGCCAAAGATGGCCAAGATTGGCATAAGCCGCTCTAGCTTTCACTATACGTGCATTTATCTCATCACTAACGCCACCACCAGCACTTACGCAGCTACCCAGATACACGAACTTCTCGACTACGTCTATCTGCTCACCATCCAAGGTGAGTACAGGATTTGAATCCTGCCAGTCCTGTAGAAGTACTTTGCACTTCGAAGGTGCAAAGCACATACCATACCTACGGATATTGATTGCCAACTGATTAAGTGCGGATTGCATGGCTTGGGCATTATCACACAGTAAGACAATATCATCCGCATACTCAAGGTCGAGAAGTCTTTCTCCGGGCAACCGATCCACGCTACCATAAATTACATCCATCAGAGCTGCTTCCAGAATGTCATCGATGGCAAAGTTGAAGAGGAATGGTGAGATTGGGCAACCCTGTCTAACCCCACTGCTTGAATGGAACAATGAAGAGAGATGGTTGTACGCCCTCACTCTGTCTGAGTTGTTTGTATATAGAGCTTTAAGATGTTAATAAACTTCTCAGGAACACCCTTCTTCAATAGACAGTCCCTCAGAACAGTTCTGTCCAACGAATCGAAGGCAGCTCTGATGTCAAGAAACACTACGATTGTTGGCCTGTGATAAGTATGACGGTGTTCTAGCATTTGGCGGAGGGTGAAGATATGATCATTACATCCTTGATCAGAACGAAACCCAGCCTGCTCCTCGAGAGTCAATCTTCTCGGGTTTCGAACAACCTGCAAAATATGACAGAAGCCAATAATTTGGAAGCAATTGGATGTAGACTTATCCCCTGATATTTGTTACAGAAACGACGTCAACCGTTTTTAAAGATAGGGACAACTATCGACTCATTCCATGAAGTTGGAACACTCTCTAGCTCCCAAACCTTTGTAAACAACGTTGTCAGTTATTTAACCAGAAAGTCACCACCATCTTTAAAAAGAGTCTGAGGTAAATCAACTGAGCCCGGTGATTTGTAGCGCTTCAAGGGTTGGAGTTCCTTGCGGACTTTCACCTCATTTGGTGGATCAGTCGTCACCGGTCATGGAGGTCAGAACAGTCTGATAGATGTTGCCGGAGCAGCAGGTCAGTTGAACTGCCCTTCGAAGAATTCTGCCCATCGTCCAAGACGTCGATAGATGTTAGTGACTGGCATCCCGTCATCCTCGCAGATCGTTTCGCTCACACCAGACTTCTTGCTGCCAGTGGCTCGGATGAGTTGGAAGAGCTTCCGGTAGTTACCTGATGCAGCTGCTGTTTCCAGCTCATTAATACGCTCCAAACACCAAACTTTTCGGTCCTTACGCAAGCTTTGTCTGATTTCATTACGTAACAGCCTTCGTTTGTGGTCAAACTCACGGTCACTCGGAGTAGACCGACGGGCTTCAACGAATTGTAAGTAACCAGATGAAACCCAGTGCTTATAAGCGGGACGTTTCGCAAAGCCGCAAGCGGCTTTACTCGCCATTTTGATGGCGTCGTGAAATCGCTACCAACTTGCTGACATCAATCCTTTGATGGCGGTCACTTCGTTGGCCACTGAGAAGTAAGGTAAGATTGGCGCAAACAAGGGCATGATCAAAGCCCAAATAGGTACTCCAAAAGCAGTGGCAGTGTTGTACACAACCATGCCAGCGGTAGCTGGTCGCGATGTGATCAATCTGAGTCCAGGCTTGAGATGCAGATGGAGGTCACCAGGTGGCACATCGGCGATGACTGTGCCGAAAGTTAGTGCTAGCCAGAAACGGGTCGTGGTATGTGCACAGTTGCAGTAGACGGTCCCCGTTATCTGTCCTGCGGCCAATAAGTCCCCATCGACCGACTAAACGATTCGCTTCTGTGCCTAGACGCCCGACCTGAGCATTCAAGTCTCCGGCTAGTACTACAATGTCTGTCGAATCCACTTTCTGAAGAAGAACAGTTAAGTGGTTGTAGAATTAATCCTCGATTGCATCTGGGTCGCAATCTGCCGGAGCATAAGGAGAGGTGACGAAATGACGTCGTTTCTCACGCCGATTTCTTCTCACTTCGATAAAATAAACAGTGGGCGTGCTAGTGCCATTGCAAACAAATAACTCATTCTGGAGATGAGAAATACTATACTAAGTTTAATGTCACCACCACAGCAATTATCTATTTACAAAATGCTTCGATATGAGTGCTTATGTGAACTACTCGTACCAGAGCAAAGACTGAAACAATGTATGAAGCTTTATAAAAATGTAATTGTCTAGGGCTCCATGCTTCCTTTGAGTGAAACAATGATGCATCAAGAAAAAGATTTAAGAAATTAAAACGATACATGTAGTAAATAGAAGAAAGAAAAATGCAAAAAAACGAACGGCAACGCTGAATGAAAGATACAGAACAATTTGATGTTGAAGACGTACAGGAAGATCATGATAGTGAATACAAATAGCTTAATGTAACTAATTTGAAGTGTATCACTAAGTCTCTTACTAATGATTACAGTCATTTCATCAATCCCTATTAAAAAGCTTGCTTTCTTAAATTACTAAACCAAAGGTCAATTATATGTATTAACAATTTATCGATCTAATCCTATCTAAATGTTTTTCAGTTTACGCACGCAGTTACAACGGCTGGAAAAGATTCATATCTTGATATAATTGGACGTTAGAAGACCAACATTCAATTTATATTAACTGATTGCATGTTCTTTATTTTCTGATCAGTTTTGACTGAATTTTCGTTGTTTCCTTGGTTAGGATTTGTCTTACGGTCAGTTATTACCAAGTCGCTCCAAACATTTTTTAGCTTCCACCGATCAATATTATATGGCTGGTTGTGTTTACAACAATCAAAATCACGATCAGTCACACACAAAAAAACCGAGACAGAATCCTAATAACAATAGTTCCAAATATATCACTCGATGATGGTGTACAACCTCGTCAGTCGCTTTGCCACCATTGCTTAATATTCTTCTTCTGACAACAGTTACACCTACTGAGTTGTTTGACTAGAGAGGAATAGTTTTCGCAAACAACTGTGTGGAAACATGAATCAACATTTATCTGTGCCGCGTCAGATATTGATTATTACTGACTGAAATATCTATGATGAAATACATGGAACATGCACGCCTATATTTTCAAAACATAAAGTAATGAAGGCACAGCTGTTATATTTTTTCAGCAAAAGGATAATTGGGGGAGCCATGCAATAAGCGAAATAACTTTTTAAAACCCAAAACACTTTGAAACTAGAGACTTTGTCAATTAAAATCTACTAAGGGTGATAAATGGTGGCGTGCTTGAATATCTGGGCTACCTGTTCCTGTCATTAGGATATTTCAGTAAGTTATGTTTCCCTGTATGTTCTAACACATCATTATGCCCATTAGTCTCAAACCTACTCAGATACGTTTGTGAACAGTTTACGACATTCTGGTGTACAAGTTACAAAGGAAACACAATCAGAGACATTATAGTTGCTGGTAGTATGTATCGAAAAGAATATACATTATTCAGATGTCAATTCCAGAACTGCAAACAACTGGCAACACTCAATACTTATCGCAAGGATCGATCAAGAAATAAGAAAAGGAAACTTGTTGACATACTTTGTGCTGAGAATCTCATATTGTGCCAAAAATATAGTTAATAAAGCCACTAGTAATAATAATAATAAGACTAAGGAGAAAAAACTACTATAATGATCTAAATGATCAATCAGCTTACTTAGTCAACGTATTATGACTAGGCAACAATCAAGCTTTAGGATCTAGGTCCTAGGATTAAAATTTAATCAGTTCGGATGGGATAATTTGTTCCGATACAATAAATCTAGTGACGTTGCCCCCAAATACCCTGGTACGGCCGAGGGTGAGAGAATTAGCTCTCTCTCTCTCTTTCGAAATGCTCTCACAT